ATGAATACGACTCGGGCCCACCCAAGATTGCAAATAATCTCCTTTGTCTTGACTTTTAGTAAAACTTCCCGTTTTTTTGCTGTATAAAATAAACACGGTGTATTGGCTCTGGGTCACTGTCACTGTCACTGTCTCTGTCCCTGTCCCGTCAGAGGACAGTGGTCCCACCCGGCCCAGATTTTTCTTTCCATCTCTGTGTCTGTCTCTTTCTTTCATTTTCTCAATCCCCAGTCATCCCTACTCAGGAACCGGATCGCTCTCTAGCCGAGCTGGACGTGGAGAAGAGAGACATATTTATAGCTTGATATCTGGTATTGAGGTACCTCCCACTTTGTTCTTCTTTCTAAGGATTGCTGTGGCTATTCGGGGTCTTTTATCATTCCTGATGAATTTTTGGAGAGTTTGTTCTAGTTCTTTGAAATATGCCGTTGGTATTGTAGTGGGGAGTGCATTGAATTTATAGATTGCTTTGGGTAGTATGGGCATTTTAATGATGTTGATTCTACCAATCCAAGAACATGGTATGTTCTTCCATCTGTTTATGTCTTCCTCTATCTCTTTTTTGAATGTCCTGTAGTTTCCGAGTAGAAGTCTTTTACCTCTTTAGTTAAGTTTATTCCTAGGTATTCAGGAGAGTGTTGAAGTTCCCTGTGATACACTGTTCCTCTGTGTTGTAAACCGCAGTCCTGATTTTAAAGTAGGCCGTATTTGTTTCCCAGGCTGCCTTTATTTGTGATTATAGAAGAGTCTGTTTGTGGTTCAGCCCCTGGGTGGCAGTGTTTCTGGATTGACCTCCAAGGCTACAAGTCCTCTCTAGCCAGTATTTAGTTTTTGTTTTCTCTATTGCACTTAATACTGGTTTGGGAGAGTTGACTGCCCTTGAGCTGGTTCCTTGGTGGATATTCCACGCTCTGATTCCCAGGTTCCACAAAAACAACTTTCCCCTGCAGTCTCTGTGAGTGACTCCAACTGGGTGATCCTATGTACTGGGTTTAATAATCAAAAGCAAAGATTTAAAGAGAAAACACACACACACACAAAAACAAAAAGAGCCAGAGTGTGCAGTTCTCCCAAAGTCTCTTCCACACGTCCTCTCTCCTCTGGCACTAAGCAGCCAGCACATTGGCAAAATCTGAGGCTGCCTTTTTGCACCCAGTTTAGCTATGGGCTGATTTTTAGAGTTCCCTTCTGCCAGAAGCCCTGTGGGACACCTTTCCCACTCACGGATCACGTTGGCCCCAATTGCCGCAGACTTTGTGGGGCGCAGACTTCCTCCGCGCGTGCGCATGCTCCTCTCTCTGATCTGAATTACAAACCGTACTTTTATCCACTAGGCGAAATCTGACCTTTCCGTGAGGAGGAGCAGGGCTTGTCTGAGTCAAAGTATTCGTGCTACTTGAGATCCAGTGTTCCTAGGTTCGTAGCTGGACCCTGGGTGCCGTGGTTGCAGGGTTTCTGGATGTATATGCTTTTTATATCAGCCACTCAAGATAGCGCGAAGATGGCATGGTCTCCGCGGCTGAGCCAGCTGCTCCAGGAGAGACTTCAGCAGCAGTGGAGGCTGCCCAGTTAGGGGAGCCTGATCTGGCAGTCTCCAACAGTCCTCTGGAGTATAGCTATTGCTCACCCACAAATTTACACTCTCAGTACATCCACACACTTCTCCTTTCGTTCTCTCACTCTCACACTGTGTTACAGTCTGCCTTCCCTTCATTAGCCATCTTCTCTCCTCATCAAGTATTCTGTGTAGTGAACGGAACTGTATGTGCTGGACTTTCATAGAACTGGCAGCACAGGAAGCTTTTTTACACCAGTGTCATCATAAACATCCGAGTAATGCATTTCCCTATGACATTGTGATAGGTATGATATCCCTAGGTGATTTTAATATTTCAAATCCACTGTAATCTTTTCTTTTATAGAAAGGATTTTATTTTTCATTAAGTTCTAATTGACATTAGTTTAAGGTGTACCTCATAATGACATATTTGTCTATATTGTGAAATGATCATCACAATAAGTCTAATTAGCATCTCCTTTCCACCCCCATTGACCTCTCTGCCGGGGCCCAGCCCCAGCGGTCCAGGGGTTCCCAAAGGTGTGGACGGAGTCTGCGAAGAATGAAGGACACGGAGACAGCGTTCAGATGATCAGCATAGTTGGGTTCTCTCTTTATTCTCCTGTTACATCTGTATACCATTTGATCCTATAAGCATGCCTCTATAGTTACATCATCACATGTTTTGGGTAACATTCTACAGTTCCTTGTTTCTTATCTGACCTTTGCCAAAAATTAGGGGTTTTACTGATTTATTTCCTTCCTTAGCCCTGTTAATCCCTAACTCCAAGGAAAAATTCCCACCCGGGGAAACAACCTTTCTTGGGGAGATGGCCCTGGTTAGAACACATAGCGCTAAGAAGGGGAGCAAACATATTAAGAACAGTATGCCAGGTTCCTTGAAACATATGCTGTGTAGATGTTTCTTCCCTGCAGCAACTGTGTCAAGCAGCAAGGGTGGACCAGCTTCTGGCACCTCTCCCTGACTGCTCCTATCCCCAGCACATGCCCTCACCCCCTCCTGTCTGTGTCCATTGGTTATGCTTATATGCATGCATACAAGTCCTTTGGTTGATGTCTTATCTACCCACCACCCCTGCCATCTCACTGAGGTTTGACAGTCTGTTTGATGCTTTTATGTCTAGAGATCTATTTTTGAGAGCTTGTTTGGAGGTTCTAGCAGGGGAGCGCAGCTACTCATATACCCTTGACCGAAGACCAGTCCTCTCCTGGAGGGGTGGGGGGCGGGAAGGTCGTCTTCTTCGACCGAGCGCGCACCTTCGGGAGGGATGCACATGGATCGGTGAGGGAGGAGGGGGACACCTGCCTAGCCAGCCAGATTGCCCTCACATCCTAGAGATCTATTTTTGTTCATCAGTTTAAGTTGTTCATTATATTGCACAAATGAGTGAGATCATGTGATATTTATCTTCCTCTTATTGGCTTATTTGGCTTAGCATAATGCTCTTCAGGTTTATCCATTCTGATGCAAATGGTAAGAGTTCTATTTTTACAACAGCATAGTATTCCATTGTGTAGATGTACAACAGCTTTTTATTTATTATTTTTAAAATTAATTTCAGAGAAGAAGGGAGAGGGAGAGAGAGATGGAAACATCAATGATGATAATCACTGATGGGCTGGGCTGTGGGCTGCATTGTGTGCTGTGGGGTCTCAGCAGTGTTGGCTATGATTCAGTGGGCTGTTGCTCCAGAGTGGTGGCAGGGCTTGTGTCCCACTTGGGGGAAGCTGAATGTTGCTCTGTTGGTGCCAAGTTTGTGGTGCCGCTTCTTTGTAAATAGTCAGTGTGTGTCAAAGCACCTGCTACTTGGAGCATCTGCCCGTGGGTGGTCAGTATGTGTCAAAGCGACTGGTCGGATGGTCCTAGGGACACTTAGCATAGTGCCCTTTTATATGTATAGGTAGATTATGTGTATTTACATGTCCTAAAAATCATGAGTAGAGGACTTTTTTTTTAATATGGAACGCTTCACGAATTTGCGTGTCATCCTTGTGCAGGGGCCATGATAATCTTCTCTGTATCATTCCAATTTTAGTATATGTGCTGCCAAAGCGAGCACAATGAGTAGAAGACTTTTGTAGAGGGCTAAGTTGCCCTATCCTGCTCATGCCTGAGCTCTAACTCTAACTTCCTATCTCCATGAAATGAGAGAGGAAAAAGAAGGTCAAACTGAGTTACTAACCAGTATTATAAAAACAGCCCTAACTGGTTTGGCTCAGTGAATAGAGCATTGGCCTGTGGACTGAAAGGTCCCAGGTTTGATTCCGGTCAAGGGCATGGACCTTGGTTGGGGGTACATCCCCAGTGGGGAGTGTGCAGGAGGCAGGTGAGTGATGCTTCTT